AAAAATATGCAAATTTTTTGGCGGGAAAGCGATCTCGGGAAGCAGACAAGGTAAGGAGCTAAAGCTCTGTGGGATATTCCCTGTGCATGTGTTAGCTAAAGATTTCAAACTCAGCTCCCAAGTATGCGTAGCATTCATGTGAGGGCATACGAAAATTTTGGCGGGAAAGTTGCTAACTCGAGAACCGGGAAAGCTTGAGAGCTGAAATTTTGGTGAACTGTCCCACGTCCAATTACAACTTAAGTATTTCAAATCTAGCGCTCAGGCATGGGTGGTTCTTACGTACGAGCGCGTGAAAGATTTGGCGGGAGAATTGTTTCGGCAACCAGAAAAGCTGGAAGGCTGAAATTTCAGGGGGACGTTCCCTGTCCACGTACAGCTTGAAAACTTCAAATTCAACTTCCCAGGCACGTGGAGTACCCACGTACGGAGATGTGGAAGTTTTAGCGAAAAAACTGCTAACTCGGGAACCAGAAAAGCTAGAAGGGTGAAATTTTAGGTGAATGTTCCCTGTCCAAGTACAAAGTATTTCAAATTCAGCCTTGGGGCATGCGTGGTTCTTAAGTATGGGCACTTAAAATTTCGGTTGAATATCTGACTGAGCAACTAGGTTACTTTTAAAGAACGACGACCGTTAAATGGAAATTGTCCATTTACTTTATGCAAAATTTATGATGATTTATGCTAGTGACCGCAACAGGTAGGTGTAAAGCAACAACCATTCATGCAATCACCTGAGTAATTCAAGTCCGGTGCAAAAATGCATGATCACACAGGGGTCCGTCCGGTGTGTTCCAGCCTGGGTTAAAAACTTACCGACGGTGAAGATTGTTGCTGTTTCTATTGCCGACATATGTGCCTCGTACTTGCATTGAGCCATTCGGTTGAGCGAAAGAATTGTTACTCTAAAATACATCATTTTAAAACTTTTCTGGCCATTTGCATCTGTTTTATTGTCATCCGTCAATGATTTCATCGAAAAGTATGCAGGGAGACATAAGGGAGCGGAGGGGAAGGAGGAGGAAAAAGGACGGAGAAAACGGGAATTTTTGCATAAAAGCTATTTCGCCAGCCCCTACCTGGGCAAATAAGCCCGAATTTATAAAAAACTGATCGTGATGGCTTTTTAGTCGGTTCCAAGACTGCGAAAAGCAACAAGGTTTAAAACTCATGTCTTACTTTACTATGGAGATTTGGAATTAGCGCAAGCTGGATATGTAGCTATTTGGCTAAAAAATGGCCATCTAATGCAGATTTTTTTATAGATGAAGCTGAAAGCGAATAAGGTGAAGCTGTGTGGGTAAGACTGGGAACTCTTAGCTTTACCTAAGCATCAACGTCTTGTCACCCATCACCCACCCTCCCACATTTGAACGGCTTCTCACCAGTATGAGTTCTGCAGTGCCTCCGTAAAATTTCCACTGTTCCGAACTTCCCCCATTACTGTCACCATCAATTGAAGGAACGCTGTCAATTACGCCGGAAACGCAAAAGTTACATTTCAGTGAAACGAGACAGCTAATCAAAGTATCGGAATATTATGTACTATTACTACTGTTTTATTTAGGCTAACAACCTTGCAATTCGAAGAAGCTGGTGAAGCATGCAATACTGGTGTTGAACGTTTTGTATCGTGAAACTGCTGATGAGCAGCGCCTGGTGCTGCTGCTGCCGCTGCAACGGTTACTTCGGCCTGGAGCATTGAAGGTGGAACTTTTGGCAAATTTTCAACTGAAAACAAAAAAAGAACCATTTGTGCTGTTTCGTTTCTAGCTAAATTTAATTTTTGTTAGTTAAAAATTGAATGCAAAAAAAAGTTGATTTACAACTTTTGTGTTTCGATTCTAGCTAAATTTAATCTTTTGTTAAACAAGTAAAAATTAAGTACAAAAAAAATTTTTTTTTCACGAGTGCCATTTACAAAATCCATTTTAATGCTAAAAGAAACACTGACAACATAAAATTATAGTAAAAAATTTGTGAGAAAAGGCCAATTTTTTAGTGTAAAATAAATGCTATCGTTATTTGATGAGACGAACCATCAAATGGGTTTGGTGGTAAATCGTCCACATCCAGAAGTCGTATCTGCGAAAAACCTGAAACAACAATCAAGGAGTTTTGAATAAAACCACATGCACACACAATCACATACATACATACATACACACATACGTACACACATACATACACATACATAGATACATACACACATACATACATATACATACACACAAATATATACACAAATATACACACAGATACATACAAACACATATACATACACAAAAATGCATACACACAAATACATACACACACATACACACACACACACAAACATATACACACATCCATGTAGACACAAACATCCACACACAAATACACACAAAAACATACAGACACAAACATGCACACACAAACATCCACACAAATACATACACACAGACATTACACACATATACATGCACACACACACACACATACACACACATATATATATACATGCACACACACATACACACACAAGCGCACACACATATACATAAATAGAAATACGCACACAACCGCTGGCATAACAACACAGAATTGTTGTAACTATGTGTATTTTCTAGAATCTATTAACATGCCAAAGTTTAGTATCAATTTCCCTTTTACGTAGAAATTTTTTACCATTAATTTTTTACCACTTTTTTTACCATTAAAACAAGAGATAAGGGATTAATCCAAATATCCTGTCGCAAGAAGGCATGCTAAGATGCAATCTCTGTTTCATCCCTTAGCTGTAAACACAGACCTAACGCAGTATGCGGGCAGGAATGGAAATCATCAGTACAGCTCGTCCAATCTTTTGATCTTTCTCGTGCCCTGGCAAATCTTTATATACTCCCCTACCCTGCCATCAACACAAATATCCCAAAAAGGCCTTGAGAGCACATATACGCTTATCTCAAAGGTTAATTTATGTATTCCCAGGCACAAAAAACCGGTGATAAAGCCATATATGGTTCAAAATTACTGTTTATGAAAAAATACTTTGGATAGCCGCTATTGTAGTTTGTAGCAATGGTCGAAGTTTTGCATATCTTGTCTCCAGCTCGCCCTGATCGTGTAGCTCTTGAATACATTCATCGGAGACCTTTAACAACAAATAATTCATTTTAGAGAAAAAATAGAAGCGAAATCCATCAGAACAACTTTTTTTTTTTTTT